ATGAGACGTTTTTAACACAGTCCATTCAATATAATGTACATATTTCTTAACTTTTGTTATGTTTGATGAGTCTACACATCTAATTAAACATCGTTGCTAAAATGGTTTAGTTTCACTGAGAAAATATCCTGAAACGTGTACCACTATTTCGATTTAGTTACGTCCTTGTTGAAAGGTTTGTCCCGTGACAAGTGTAAAATAAACAGATGCGCTGTTATATCATTGGACATCTTGCTGTATGGAGTCACGTCCCTCTCTGTTATGTTTATACATGCATGCACATCTGTAACCTTATGAACCTCGTTTGCATTCAGTAAAGATATAGGCACGCCCACCTTCATAAATATTGGGGGTGGGGGTGTCAACTGCAAGTTTGACTATAATAATTCAGTATAGTGTCACCTCGTGAATTCTGTAATGCGTGTACTCTAGTTTGGATAGTCATTCGTATCAAGGTGAAGATTATATTTACATGTACAGCAAACCATTATGTTTTATGTACTAGTTGTGTGCATAAAATGTATATGAAAATAAATACTACTTCTACTCAGCGGTTGGATTTCAATTGCTTTGTTTTACTTATCGAAAAACACTAAAATGAGGACAAATAAACTCGCCAAAGTGACTATCTACTTCTATTTGTCTTATGTGTATATTTCATACATCGTTACCAGTGTGAATGTTTACAATACACAAACTGTTACATGATAGCTTGAGTTGATAAAGCTGAAACCCAGCATATCGACTGGTCAACGATATAGCCAATAACCAATCTCTATCCAAGCTGCTGAGTGACCAAACGTGCTCGAAATTTCGCCCACGCCCCGTCACCTGTCCTTTCCTCTGTGACAGGTATCTCATGATACGATTGGTCGCAGATAACATATGACCAGCCACTATACTGAACAGTTGAGATACCAGTGTGTATGTTTACAATACACAAACTGTTACATGATAGCTTGAGTTGATAACGCCGAAACCATGCATATCGACTGGTCAAGGATATAGCCAATAACCAATCTCTATCCAAGCTGCTGGGTGACCAAACATGCTCTTTCAGACATTTTGCCCACTTCCATCACCTGTCCTTTCCTCTGTGACAGGTATCTCATGATAACGATTGGTCGCAGATAACATATGACCAGCCACTACATTGAACAGTTGAGATAATCGAACGCTCTATTCGGGAAATTTGATGACTTCCTATCACGTGACTCTTTGTTTTATGTCTATGCAAGGAATATGTAGTATACATTTTGTATATGTATGTTTGTATGGTCACGATGTTTTCTGCATTAAATCTGTATGAAATAAATTGCAATGCTAAGAATGTGCTTTGTGCTAGTCACAGACTAGCTGCTATAGTACTTTCATTGAAATAATTCAGAACACTAGAAATGTATCGGCAAAACCGCTTATTTTCGCCGAAGATTATAAAGTATGAAAATAAATTCTTCTTTACAGTATGTCATTGTCATAGATGTTTTGTAAATTTAAACCTCACACAATGATATAAGAGAAAGAATTTGTTAACGTGTGTCTCATCTGTTACATACAAAGAATACATGTGTATGTATATTGTGATAAAATATAAATGTACAAGCCGGCAAAAGGTCTACAAGAGAAACTTGCAATAAAATTACATAAAGCTTGCAATACACGACATGTATTCACACCTGATTTCTTTCAACATATATCTTTACGACACAATTAAACAATCAGGACTTGTTTGTACGACTAGACAGTTTCCTGTGATCCCCCAAACCTGCCAGGGAAATCAGGTGTGACTAGCACTAATTAGTCTCGGCACAGAGGGTGGGCAATCAGCGAGGGCTTCCAGGTGTTGAGTAGTGATGGGGCTCTTGGGCTTAATAAGTTAACAAAACCCCAATCTCTTATGTTATAAAAGTGACTGTCTATAATCGATATGCAGGGAACTGTTTCCGGACGGTAAATTTTACAAACCAACTGGCTAAATCAACACAAAATTGACTCACTTATCCGGTTTGAAGTGATGGAGCATGGACCAGACATGCAGTAGACTTTGATGCTACCTTCCCAAGAGCCATATGGAATCAGCATGAGAACACAGGTCCACGCTCCAACAACCATCTTGAAGGCTTCCACAGCGGTCTCATGAAGAGAATGCCCAGGGCTCACCCTAACTACTATCAGTTTGTGAAAGAACTGAAGAAGATCAAGACAGCTGATAGACAATCCAAAAGGCAGATTGGTCTTGGTGGTGCCATAAGGCATCGTACTCGCGCAGACAGAGACCGAGATGTCAGAATTGAGAGACTGAAGCTGCAGCTTGCCACTGGCAGAAGACCTCCCAAAATGCAGATAAAAATAGCACGCTGATTAATTGGGCCATGCTGGTCATCCCTTATTAATGAATGGCCTGGTCCACTCCCCTATACCATAAGGGATGATCGCTATGTTAAGTAGTAGTACTACTACTACACTGAGTAGTAGTGCACAACAACAACATATTGTCTTAAAACACTGCTCCATTCTGATGAACTAAGAATGATTGACGTTGAGGTGTATAAATGAAATTTTATTTGTAACAACTTTTAAATATTATTGACAGGCAGACAGACAATAATCTACACCAATATTTGATTACACGGGTAATATCATTAAGCTGCAGGGGCAATCTGCCACATTCACCCAGTGCCATGGAATTACAAGATGATCGATTTATTTTAAGATACTTGTGCATTAAATTGTGCTCTGGACCAAAGTTTTAGTGTAAATACGATGCCAAGATATATAAATACAGATATTTATAAAGTGTTTTATTAACATTTTCTTTCATTCCTGTTTCCTTGTAAAATAATTCAAGGGCATTTATCATTTTCTGCAATTGAGTACCAGTGTCTGAAACATCAGAAAACATAAGGGCATACACATTTTTGCAAACAGCAGAAATAAATATTCCCTTACCACCTTCATTTTGCATGACTGTGCATTAATGATTAACAAATATTTTAAATATATGAGGGCTTAAAATGCATCCCTGACGGGTACCCACATTGCAAGAAAATTGTTTAGAAAGTCCCTCAGGGCTTCTAATACAAGCACAAAATGAATTATACATACATGTGATAATATCTAAAAACTTCCCATCTAATCCAACCTTATGAAGATAATCAATAAGTATATCATGTTTAAGAGTATCGAAAGCTTTTGAAAAATCGATAAAAAGACAATAAAATCTACCCTGCTTTTTACATGAATATTTCTCTTGTTGAAAGGTTTTTCCTGAAACCAGCCTGACATTCACAAATGATATTATCTAAATCACACCAGATTAAATAAATATTGATGAAATAAAGGATCACTTGCTACATTGTCAAAACTCGTTCCATGGGTGATACCATTTTTCTTAATCAAGGGTACAGCCTATACTAATCGTGGATGCAACCAACCACAAAAAGTGTTGTTTTAATGGGAGGATGCGTTTTGGGAGGATACCCAAGACAAGGTCTGCTAATTCAGATTAATGACTTATCAGCAGGGTATTGGTTGTGATTAGTAGGCCTCTATTACACATAGTGAATTGTAATTGGCAAATCAAAACAACAATGCTGTTTTGGAAATGATTTTAAACCAGATTCAACAACAAAGCTTGGATGACAGAAATCCAGTTATCTGGACACTAAATGCAAAAATGAATGTGTTTAGGTATCCGGGGTCTCACTGAATTGGAAATTTTCAATGTTGTGATATTTTATGTTCGTATTCAGTAATAGCAAGAAAAAGTTGTATCCATATATAAAACTTAAACAAGTGAAATAAATCAAAGTCAAGAGCTATTCCTGAGGAATGCAGAGGTTTACCCTGTAAAAGAGAACCCAACTGAACATTAGAGTGATGACACCTACAAGAAAACCAACACACACCAAATTTCAATATAGTTTGGATTGAGGCTTTGTCAGGCTCGGGGGCAGCATGGCATCATATCCCATTTGTTTGGGATCAGTGCTCATGTTTTTCTTGACCAGACTCATGTTTTTACAGAACATTCTCTTGTAGCTTAAATATTGCTAAGTGCACTGTTGTTTGTAGCTGGTTCACTCATCAATACATTAGCTGTATGGTTACAGACTCTAAATAACTGAGTCTACTCCAGGCATACTTCAGTGACTGTTATCATGTGCATCCATCTAAGCAATTAGATACAATGATATATGTAGCAGCCATAAAATATCTGAATCCTATGGATTCGAAATACAGACCTCCTGATGCCAGGTTAGACATGCCTTGTCCACATGAGGTTAAAACAAACAGTTTAACCCCTGTCAAGGTAAAAATGTCATAAGGTCTGTTGGTATGATTATTATATCATGTTGGTCATTTCATGCGAGTGAATAATTAAATTGCAAACCAACTCACTTTTCGAAAACCAAATTTCATTAACTTCTAAAACAAAACAGTACTGTAATAGCAACATGAAGTTTTAGTGTTCACTTTTAAGGACAATGAGATGGTCATGTGGTTTCAGAGAAAAGAGAAACAAGTTATAAGGGATGGCAGAAACATTTTTTTTCCAATCCGAAACTAACTTACACTATTTCAACCACTAAAATTCAGGCTTATCATTACCTTAAAGTTTGGATAATGAATAATGAATACTTTTTAGTCGTCTTTTTGTAAATCAAACACGAAATACAATAAGTCGTATCTCAAACATAGATGTTTCTGTGGTCAAATGCCCCAAAACCTCGAAGCAGGCATGTTTCATTGGTTCCTAATCAGTAACTGAAGACAATGGTTTGTTGTTTGTCCTTTAATGTCGCATTCAGTAATGTTCCAGCTGTATGGGACGTTGATCTTGATCTTGATCAAGACACTATGCCCTTGTGCACATAATTATTATTCAAGTCAAAATGAAAATGTCATAAAATGTCATGGACAAATTATTGATACTAAGAGACATCAATAATTATGTTTATCCATAAAGAATCAGCAGAACTACAAAATATTAACCTTACCTGTAATGATTTGGTTGCACACAGGAATAAGTACACAGTGGCACTCCTTCTTCACACACATGCCAATTATCTGCCTAAGAAGCTTTTCAAAGGCTGATGGAGTTATAGATACACCAACAACGGCATGGAAAATATGATCTAGAGGCAGTTTTCCCCCAGATGTTTCTGCAATTTTGCCTTGCACTGACATCTGTGACCAATTTCTTTTCCTTTCAGCTTCATAACCAGATCCCCCTGCTTTAATCATAGCCTTTATAAAAGGCTGGATACCCCAGAGTGTAGTATCTTCCCATGAAACCAGAGCACTAGCCTTTGTTTCAAAGACATCACTTTGGAAGATGTTGATTGAGACACCATCAGAGAACTTGAAATATCCATTGTTGATGTCATTGTGTGCAGCAGACATGGTTTCAGACACTTGTTGATGCTTGTCACTACTCTGGTTTGAGTGATGTGAAAGTGAAATACCAAAATATGTTCCCAAACATCTGTAAATGAAGGCTCTGTCCCTATCAAAATCGTTTCCTTCCAGAGGTGTTTTCCAGCTATTTGCTAACTCCTTTGCAATAGCAGTGACCATAGTATCACTGACATCCACAAAGTGAACCTCTCTAAGAGATCCTCCAGATGCAACTGTATCAAACGTCTTCAGGGCTTGTACATACATCCTGGCACAGACATCCTGTGGAACCCCAAATATAGCTGAAAATACAAATCATAAAAAAGGTTAGAAGCAATGAGTGAGTCTGTATCAATACATTACATGACACACCTGATACTTTTCTATGGAATACATTTCTAGTGAAAACTGACAACAGTCCGTTTGAGTAAAAATCTCCCCAATGAATTGCTCTCTAACCCAAAAGCAAATAATTGTAAATGATTAAAACCAATGCCAAAGTAAATATGAAAAACACAACTCTGCAGAATTGTGTCATCATTTTCGTCTACAAAATAAAACAGTTGTTTAACAAACTATCATTGTTTTCATTAGCTTTACCACGATTTGTGACATGGGTGTAACGACAGCACAGGTAACAGCCAGGTAAGTGAGAGGCACGTGCAAATTTGTCACGTGACGGTTTATCCTACTGACTGAGCGATTGATTCATCTCACACAATGAAGTTTACTTGTGATGTTAAATCTGTAATTTACAAGATCTACGACTTCTTCAAGTCTGAAACTCAACGGGGCACACCATTTTATGCACTTCACAATTTTCTTAAACGTACATTTTGTGCTTTTGGGGTTCCACAGAAGCAGTTGAAAACATTATTGAAACAACAACAAACTCCATCTGCAAACAGTAGCGCCCAGGAGGGTATCATATCAAAAGCCATGAAAATTTAAAATTTGATTCATTTCAAAAATAACTTGTCAAGAACATATTCCGAGGCTTATATAGCAAGAATAGACACTCATCCTTACGCGTATTGCAAAAAGAAACGGAAACTCAACATTCCCTCTCAATATCTAAGTACCAACTTTGGAAATTGCTTTATAAGTTCGGATTTCGGTACACCAAAGTTAGTGGGGAAGTGAGACGTGTTCTTTGTGAAAGATCAGATATTGTCCAAATGAAAAATATTCATTTATGCACCATACGTCAAAAGAGGGAAGATCGGTTTCAGCCTGTTTATCTTGATGAGACTTGGGTGAATGCAAGCCACACTGCAGAAACACAATGGGTTGCTAGCACTAAAGAGACATGTTCCAGAAGACTGCCTTTAAGCAAAGGAGAGTGATTCATTGTGCTTCATCAGCTTGTAAATCTGTGGGATTCTTACCTAAATGTGCTCTTGTGTTTGAAGCTTAAGACAAAGACAGCAGAGATCATCACACCGAGATGAATGGAAATCTTTTATGGAATGGATACAATTGGTAATGGCGTTGCCATCAAAGAGCTTAATTGTCATGGACAATGCTCCGTATAGTGTCCAGGATCTTGATACAAAAGCCCTAACTTCAAATTCAAGGAAGGGAGACATAGTAGCATGGTTAGAAAACCGCAATATACCATTTCCACAAAACACAACAAAAGCAAAACTTTATGAAATCCTTAAAATCAACAAAGAACACCTGTGTATAAAACTGACCAGTATCTGAACTCACAAGGTCATGATGTCTTACGCTTGCCTGCTTATCACTGTGGTTTAAACCTGACTGAACTGATCTGGGGTATCATCAAATCTGACATTGCCGTGAAAAACACAACATGTAAACTGGCAGACGTTCAAAATCTAGTCCACGAATCGAGGGCTAAGATTTCATAAGACCCATGGCAAAATCAGTTGAGAAAATTGAAAATGCTGTGGAGCATCAGTAATGGCTTCAAAGCAGTTTACAACAGGCGACTATCAGTCCTGTCATCATACGGGTGCTCTCTGATGACTCTGACAGCAGTGAGTCCATGTCCGATTCAGAATCACAGTGTGATGACCTTTGATACCATCCGCTACCGATGAAATCAACATCGCACGTGCCTCTTGCTTACGTGGCTGTTACCTGAGATGTCATTACACCCTTGTCACAAATTGTGATATAGCTAATGAAAACAATGATAGTTTGCTACACAACTTTTTCATATTGTAGACAAAAATTATGACAAAACTCTGCAGAGTTCACTTTGGCGTTTGTTTGAGTCATTTACAATTATTTAGTTTTTGAGTTAGAGTGTTGTTCATTGGGGAGATTTTGACTCAAACGGACTGTAGATTTGAGGATTTCAAGATCTGAGGATGCAGTGGCTAAGGGTGAAAATGGATACTTGGCAGACTAAAGCATGAAACTTTGCAAAGTGCTAGGGAATATCATGATAAAACATATTGACGTCCAAGATGGCCACTAAAAATCAAGGATTTCCAATTCTAACAATATGCGACTAGATTAAAGCAAAACAACCTTGCACAGTGCTAGGAAACATCATGATAAAACATATTTTGGGTGTGTGTCCTTCCTCTTTTTAAGGACAAAGCAGCAAGTCTTGCCATGGTTAGGCATGGTATGTCTATGATCAAGACAGTCACAGAACATTGCAATCCAGGACATCTCCCAGTCATGGCTGTAGACCAACCACTTTTGCGCTAGCAACGACAGGGGGCAAAAATGTCCAATGGAAATGGCCTAATGTCTTTGGTGAAGACATGTACACTGTCATTCTTGGAGTTCTTCACATTGAAATAGCCTTATGGAAAATTGTTGAAGACTTGTTGGAAGATTCTAGGTGGACTTCAGAACTAACAGAAGCAGGTATTGCCTCAAGTGGAACAGCTGAATCTTTCATTTTGGCATCTCACTATCACAAGATAAGCTTCAAAGAGATGCTTACATGTCCTCACTGGAACCGCATGTTCAACAATCATTTGAAGACTGGATGTAAAAATTGGATGTCAGATAAAAAGTCCAACATTCAAATACTGGGATTTGGTTCTTTCATCTCGAAACAATGATACTAATCTTTGTGAGGTCCCATCGCAAAAGAAACATGTCTTTGTACATTCAGGTAATGAAACAACTTGTCCCATGGTTCTTTGCTCTTGATCACACCAACTATGCACGCTGGCAGTCTGTTCACATCAGAGATATGAAAGCCCTTCCAGTTGTCAGCAGAGAGTCCCTTCAGAGATGTTGGGTTTTCTCAAACACATTTTCTGCCATGCTTTTAGATCAAGCATAAGGGTATTGCTGAGTGCGGCGTAAAACTAAACTCACTCACTCAAGAATAAGGTTGAACAAAACAGCAAAGTTGTAAAACACTCAGGTGGTGCAGGTGGATTAACAGAAAATGTTGCCTCAACTAGATGAATGATATCTGGACCAGAACAAGCAAGAATTATGCAAGGGTTTGAAAAGCAAGATGATAAGGTGGACACGAGAAGCAATGAACAGGGTTTTGCTACACAGCAGACATTTAAGACCCAAGTCAACAACTTATGTGGCACAGTTGCTTCGATGGGAAATCCCTTCCTTGAAGAGTTTCCTGAACCGATGACCCTTGATGAGCATCAACGTGTTGGTAAAGCTGTAGCATCTATGAAGTCAATGGAAAAATCTTTTACTACTAAACGTAAATCGTGTTTGTTATATTTCTGGAAATTATTAGAAATAGCCCCTTGAACGGCGAATATATCTCACATATTGCAACAAATGAAGATATTAAAAAGTCAGCAACCATTCTGGGTGGACTTCATCACTCTTTGATTTTTGGTGGCCGTCTTGGATTTTTGGCAAAATAGGCACAAAAAATTGGGCACACCCCAAAATATCTTTTATCATGATGTTTACTAGTATTGTGCAAGGTTTTCTGCTATAATCCAGGGGGAAAAGTCATATAAGTGTTAGAATTGTAAATCTTTGATTTTTGGCATCCATCTTGGACACCATCTTCCATTTCTCAGAAAATGGGCTAAAAAAATCAGGCACACTCCAAATATATGTTTTATCATGGTATTCTCCAGCACTTTGCAAAGATTCATGCTTTAGTCCGGCGTGTAACGATCAACTTCAATATCAGCCTTAAACCACTGAAACCACTAGCTCCAGGAATGTTTAACATTCTTATGCGGAGTGAGTGAATGAGTGAGTTTCTCTCTGAGTGAGTCTGAGTGAGTTGGTGGGTGGGTCTGAGTGAGCGATTGAGTGAGTGAGTGTTTATTGTTTAACGCTGCACTCAGCAATATTCCACCTATACTATTCACACTTTGCTAAGGATCAAATCATGGATTCAACAGAAAACTATTATGAGGGGTCAAATTTGGTTTAAATGCCTAAGCTTATTGTAAGCATGTATCCTGGGTTTCAGTATGTCATTGCATCTTGTGCACCCCATACCTGCTGTTGACATGTGTTGTTTATTTGTTAATGACTTGTTCATTGATTTGCAAAAATTGAGATACAATGGGATATGTCAACAATGTCACCTGATCCTCTTAATCGCCTCTTATGACAAGCAATTCTAACCGGATCTTCACGGATTGATCGATTGATGACTTTCAACAGGGTTCCAGTTACATCACGATTAAAGCTTAATGTGAAAGGAAAGGGCAAAGTGATGAAGGTAATTTTCTCCATCATGGTAGTGGTACTGTTATTTCTGGAAACATGATTGGGGCAAACTCGTACATGAACCCAAAAAGATACATTTCTGGTGCACGACTCTGCACAATAACCAGTGGCACCTTAGATGATCTGGCCACATTGGTGAAACCCAACTTAAGAATCAATGTAAATAAGGCCCCCCCCCAAATTTGTTATGGTTCCGATTTCCTACATTTCAGAACTAGGGTAGGTAGGTAGGTTTTTTGGGGTTTTGTTCAAAATATTTTTACATTACTCATCATCAAGTCTCATGTGTCAGACAATAAATTTAATTTATTATAGGGTGAGTAAAATTGTTAGGCTCGGGGGGAATATTTAGGGTCGGTCGGGAAATCGGAACCACAAGCTTTTTTTTTTAGGCCCAAGATAAAAACTGTACCACTGCACTGAAGCAGACCTACTGTAGTTAACAGTCAGAAAGGGGGGACTTTAAATAAGCACTTGTATACATTTGTATTAAATATGATATTATCTATTCCAAAGAGCATCTTCTGAAGTTTGTCGAATTCAGTGGAGAGGATTTATGGGCCAAAAATTGTTTTGGAGAAAGTTCAGAGCATACTCAAAACTCAGAGCTCAGCGCTCATACAATGGTAAAAATTATGAATTTCTATAATCTCGATATTTTCAGACTTATTGCACAAACACATTACTTTTCCGCTAACAGTGGAAAAGAAATGTACATTTATGATCTCAGGCTTATATTGCCAAACACAAATACAACCCATTTACAACACACTCTTCCACATAACAGACCTTTCTGGGTGATCCCCATGCATTTCCCAATCTAGTCTTTCTCTTACAGCCAATTGTCTAGATGTAAACAATTTGAGATATAATAAATCTTTAAAGTATTCAATAGAAATTTATCAGAAATTCATACACTGACAAACTCATTCTTTCTCATAGTGACATACTACATTTATCCCACAGTTTGGAGTTGGGTACAGATTCAGACAATTAGAACCATGAGAACATCAGAAAGGAATAACAGAGTGGACATTTGTAAGGATGAAAATCATTGCACTGGTTTGAAAGCCAGTGGTGGTGGTGACAAGGCTCCATATGCTTTAGCATTGAGGACCAAAGACGTAGAGGTAGAGATGGTGGTATGGGATACCTCTATGGTGTATGCTGTCGAACATGGGATGAAAACTCACTTCTGAGTGCTCCTTTGGTCCTCAGTGGCCTGGAGGTAGAGCTTCAAAGCCCTGACAGAGCTCCGTTATTTAGGGATCATAAAACAGCCTGGTATGCCCTGTCGCAGATTCTTGGCAATGACACCCCCACTGGCATAATCTTTCTATGTTGACCCCTCTTGAACTAGACCCAGAAGACATCCAGAGCATGAGTCTGTCTGGTCCTTGCTGCTTTGGCTTGGGGTGATAAGAAGATGTCTTATAATTTCAATCAACGTTTCTAAGCTCTCATGCTGGAGAGGCTTGTAGTCCTAATACTATTTTCAGATCATAGTTGGTTGTCTGAACTTTACAGATTGATAAACACGTTTTTAGGATCAGATCTGAAACAGATGCTTACTCGAAGTCTCCCTCATGATCCGTTTGTGTTGGAGATATTCACCAGCCTGTAGTGGTGATCCTTAAAGGGATATCAAATCCTCCAGACTGAACACAAGCCAATTGTTGTCGTATAACACTCAAATCATGCTAATGGTCATTTGATTAGCATCCATGATAGCCTGTGCCAGTCGTCATAAGTACAGGGTAGGCTTTGACTGCTAAGGATCACAGAAGTGCAGAAATGGAATATCTTATGACTTGGAAAAAAACTATGAGTGTTGCCACACTAGAAGATCATAGCTCTAGAGGTTTGTAACTGGCCATTTTTACCAGAACAACAAACTGACTCCAACCAGAGCTTGTAGATGACCTTGAACTTCTGGAGCACTGGATAGGTAAAATGCCAACATATTTTCCAATGAGAAGTCTACAGCATTCAGGTCCTATGTGCCGTGGTTCAGAATACATGAACCTGGGTTGGTAACTACCGTGCCTGGTTGCACAATACCAGGCCTCTACCTGAGAAGTCCCTATATTGCTGGCATATTCAAATAAAAATATCCAGATCGAGCTCTATTCTGTGGGCAATGGAAGGGTGGGGTATAACAGCTCATCAGTGATCACAAGTAACCGGAATGTGTCTCGTACCTGGGATGGTTTGACTGGAACTTGAATCCGCAGGTAGTCGTGGAATCCCTCTTCATGACTGGCAAATTGTCTGACTGAAACATCAGCATGTGAATCAAGCATTTCTCTGGGAAACCAAAAGAGGCCAGAGTTGTAATGACCCTGTGAGCATTTTACTCAAAGTCAGATGGTCCCCTGCCATTCAAAATGCCTGCTTAAGATTTTCAGGGGCCAACTTCTGGATCTTGTCCCAATTGAAGAACCTAAGGAGTAAAGGAGCATGTATCCTGGCAAATCTGCTACACATGGAGGGACTATTCCTACGGAATTCCAAACAATGCTGCTGTTGAATATTCTCATGCTCATTCGATCCTGCTGAGAGTCATTGTGATTCTAAAGATGATCCTGAGATATAAGGTGTGATCCCTTTATACCATTTAAATCCAAATGTTGAGCCTACATTATTCTTCCATTTCTGAGGAGATCAGATACAGACATCATGATCTATCATACAATGCCTGTAGTGAATGCCAACATCACTGTGGTGAATGGATGATACTGTTCATTGTTCACCACCCAAATCACATTCCCACATCATTCCTCCATTCCAAATAGCTATTGTCTGATGCTGAAAAATCTGTGGAACAATGTTGATCCTTGTTTGAGCTGAACTAAGCTTCTCCACTTTTTTTGGAAGAACAAGTTCATCAATTGTCCTTGACTGATTGTCAGTCAGATAAAGGCAAATGTTCAATGTCATGTCATAGAGTGTAGTCCATTAACAACGTTCTAAACAGTTGATACTGCGATTTTAGACAACTGGACGTTGAGGTTTGCAGTGAGAAACAATTCCAATTCTTCATCCACTACAAATACAGGCTGGAATTGGCTGTGTCTGATCAATACACATGTTTTACACATGTTTCACACTGTCAGTAAAACATTTTCAGCAACAAAGTCTTGGTTATCATGGAAAGAGTAGAGGATGACAAAAGGACAACCATCTCTGACATCTTCTTGAGATATATGTCAAACTCCATATTGGTTATGTGCTTAAAATCCAACATATCACAGAACTAAGAGCATGTTCCTCTAAAGTCACAGCAGACAATGTGGGGGTTAGAAACTAAAAAGTGTGCTTGCTCCCACTACCTTTCCTCTTTCCACTGTCCATAGGAAACACATAATGCCTGAGTAAAATAAGAAACCCAAAAGGTATTAATTGCAACAAATAGAATGTACAAGAGAATAAAGATAATAATTTCTATGAGATTAGATGTGTCCACTCAGCAGCAATACGAAAGAGAATGATTGGATTGGGAAAAACATAGGTTCCTCCTAGAGCATGCTGCACAAATGTAGGACTGTCCACTATGAACTGGTTGTGTTTGGGTGAGGTGTTACGAACATAAAATATATTCTATAATATTCTAGATTTGGTTTTCATGAAATATGTGAGATAGTACATGTTTAACAGTTGACATATCAGAACATATGTGATGAACCTGCTGACTCCAGTTCCTCCACCTCTCTTAAGCTAAGTTCTTTTTCAGGTTGCAGAACTTAACAGATGATGCCAAGATCAATGACAATATTGAAAAAAAATCTTCTGAAACATGTGCTTTGAAAAGTACTAATGTTTTTAATACATACCTGCACTTATGGAAGGGAATGCAATGGAAGTAAAGCCCCAATTCCTGGCAGCACACAGACATCTCAGTATTGTGAAACATAAATCCCTTGAGCACAAATCTTTCATGTTATAATTTGACCAACGTGGTCCAACAGCGTGAAAGATTTTCTTCGAAGGTAAATTACCAGCAGTTGTAACAGCTAATTCTGTTACAGGAATCTGTTTGCTTGCCACTACCTTCTGACTCTCATTTTCCATCATGGATCCAGCAGCTTTTGCAATAGCTCTGGCCACACCTCCTCCATGGCTCAGATTCTCATTTGCACCATTTACAATTACATCAACAGGCAGGGTTGTGATATTTGTCTTATAAACCTTGATGGTAAGTAGAGATCCATGGACCGTGCAGAAGAAGACCTTTCTCTGGCCAAGATTAGCAGGGTCATTCTTCACTTCACAGAAATTTGAAACTTCATCTTGTCCAAATAGATGGATCGCAGCATCTAACTGGGTGACTTTCATATCTACATGTCCTTGTGCTGATGTCTGTGGGCATAGGTGATATTCATGTCCTTTCCTCTTTACAACTGTCTGGAAAAAAGATAATGCATCATGATTATGCACATGTTGATCTTGTTCAAACTGTCCTCAAATGATATTAACAAATGATATATGCTTTCCAAAAAAAGGAAACACATAGGTGATATTGATATATGAAATTTTAAGTATTTTTCAAAATTATTGTTTGATTGTCATAAATTCACCATTATAATGCTGGTTTGTGTATATGGAATGCACAAAACAAAAAATGCATCTTTGGAAACTTCAATGTACACTTATGGTCGAAAGTGTCAACTTGCATGAAAATGTCATGAGAAAAAGTGGTTTGCAATATGTATGTGCAGTTCTGGGGAATCCTGAGCAGGGACATTGTCTGTATAAGCCTGATTTGCTTTTAATGTATACATGCATTTTTTAGCTTAATGAAAGACTATCATTATGCCACAACTCACTGCTGTAAATCGAAAAATTGCTATTGGATGTCTGGAGGCTGGGGAATCTCAGTCTAACATTGCAATTCATATTAATGTTCACCAGAGTACCACCAGTTGTTTACGGGACCAATATCCACAAACCAATTCTACGCAAGATCAGCCAGGAAGTGCAGACCACAGATTACACTGCAGTGCAGGATGGGTACATCCTGGTACTCCATTTGCGGCATCAAGCTGTCACAGCAACTGCAAGTGCAGTGTCTGGCTTGAGAAGAGTATCGGCGCAAAGCATTCATAATCATTTATGAAAAGCTGGACTTCAAGCTATAAGACCCTATTTTGGCCCACCGTGTTGCGATGACTACAACAGTTCCAGAGGTGCAATGTTCGATTCTGGAATCTACAAAACTGGTGACGTGTATGGTTCAGTATTGAATCACGCTTTCTGCTTCAGTGATGGAGGAGTACGTTATGGACCCCGAAATGAAGGTTTTGCCCAGAATTGTATCTCCCATGTTAGTTTTTAATATTAGTGTCAGTGTCATGATGTGGGGAACCATATCCTACATGCAGAAATCTAAGTTTGTACACATTCAGGGCAATTTAACTGCTATTTGGTACGGAGACAAAATCTTAAATATTCACATGACTCTGATTATTGACCACCAGAGGGAGCTGTTTCAGCAAGATAATGCCAGGCATCGCACAGTACATGTCACTATTCAGTATCTTCAGAATGAGAATATTACAGTGCTTTCATGGTCTTCCTAATCGACCAACCGCAAGTCTTGTCTCTCAGCCCACCCCCATCACATTTCTTCTGCTCAAACTTAAACAGCAAGTTTTGGAAGGCACTTCAAGGTACCGAGTAGAGTTTTCCAGCTCAGCCTAACCCTGAACATTATTAAAAGTTCCAGAACATTTGCGCAAATCTATAAGGGGCACACCCATGCCTCGGTCATCTCATATTACATTTAGACAAACAGTTGTGGGAAGATCACTTTCCATCAAGGATTCTCATTCTCAGACTATTTTGAAAGCTTAACCATTATTGCAGCTAGGTGGACACAAACATCACTGTTTCTTTTTATGATCACTGTTATATCAAATTACCATGGTGTTATTTAGTGAATAAACCATGAGGTACGAGTGATTACGGAAAAATATGTCCCGAGTGAAATGAATGTTTCACGAGGGACATATTTCCCGTAATCACTTGTACCTCGTTTGTTATTCTGTTTATTACCCATTACCAAACGGTATGAAAAACAACACAATTCATCAGTTTCCAAATTAGTTTAATGGCGATTTTATTAACCACACCCCCTTGTTAACATTAAGTTTATTTTTAACGAGTACAATCGCATATTTAATATTTAGTCGTAGATTGCAAATGTGTAGCCTAGATCTACTCGTGTCAGAAAGTGGGTTACTGTGGTTAGATACAAAACAGCAAAAACCTGTCAATTTTTTTTAAAGTTAACTAATACAACAGTGAAAATCTGCAGGGGAACAGTAAAACACGGGAATGGTAAACCTGTTTCTAAGAAGACGGTTCACAACTATTAAAGTTTGTCAACATTTTGCTGAAACGGACCGTGACCTAGTTTTGGCTCGCGTCAGTGTTCTTGTCAGGAAAGATAACTCCAAGTCCGAGTCGACAACAGGCAAAATACGCCTTTTGGGCGCAGGTGGTTGGTTGAAAGAAGAATCATTTGAAATAGTGAAGTTGAAAACTAAAGCTGAATTCATTTGGGAAATGACTGATTGGGACTGATTCGACTGAGGCTTCGGTGCATTTGTTGACAAGGGAGAGACAGGCCTGTGTCACGTGGAGTGGAATCAGAGTTGGAAGACAGAAGTCTGTTGATTGTTTTGGTGTTGTTTTTCATTCATTGTGGAATAACTGTTGATGGATTGAACGTTTTTGTGCCCCGACGCTTGCATGATCTGGTGAGCTGGAACACCTTTGTCAGACAAAGTTTGAATCATACGTTTCCTGGCGCTATGGTTTGTCAACCGTTTGTCATTAGAAAGCACTGCTTTACTTGCCATTGTTTTCATCAGTGATCCAAATTTATTTCTGCCAACCTGTTGACGTTTAAACCAAACCGGTTCGTACCTCAAATAGGTGTTTGTAGCCAAATAGAATGGATGGTCATCGTTTGAGAAGTTTAGCGGTTTCAAGTCGCGGTATGACTTGTAAACAGCAACTGGACAACACATATCCCCAGGTTGTGCCTATGCTGTAGGAGCAAGATCGCGAGACTGGTCACCCTGACGGGTTTTTGACTGCTGTTCAATATAAGGAGATATTCACTGTTCTCTGAATAATCTTTTAGTGTTACATCACACCATTACATACGCCTATGCGGGGTCGCAAATCTCAAGCCAAAATAAACCGTGTTTAAAATGGACTCTGGCGTGATAGTGCCTAGTTGGCCACATTCACGCAGTTTCTGTAATCAGTGTCAGATACAGGATCAGAACGGAATGGTACGTTTCCTTTACCTTTTTTTTAAAGACTTGAGTTTTGATTTCAAAACTTCCCTGTTTCATGAAATGCATTGATTCAGCTAACACATGCGAGTACCCTTTACGCTTCAAATAGCGTTCAACACTACCCTTTATTCCCAGGAGGGAAGACGGTTCATACTCCGAACCATCAGATTTTTTTACCGATATGAAAAATGTACATAGAAAAGTGTTCGGTTCATGGGGGGCAATGTCTTCAAGCTGTCTTGGATCATTAAGACTCTCGTGGAGAAATCTATAAACAAGATTCATGTTCAATTTTGTCCTTTTCATTGTGTTTTCGTATTTGTTTGCAGCCAAGAAGTTATCAATGTCATGGTAAAAAACATGAACAAACCTGTCAAAAGTTTTGTTTTCGATTGGGGGGTCAAACAAATCATCTTGCAGTAAGTCATTTATGACACTCTGAGGCAGGTAGGAACTCGCTCGAGATGGTTTCCGGCAACGTCTACAGTCTGTACCTTGCAACTTCCATTTCTCCATATTCAGTGATTATAACATACACATTAAAGGAATTTAGTGGTTGTGTTATTTTTGTTACACGACCAGTAATGTCTCCGTCCCCCTTGACCAGGTCATTGACTTTGATTGGTGTTAACTGGGTAATCATGTTCGTTTACAAAAGATGATGTTATCAATTTAAGACAATTTTTCATTACAAAATATGTTGTTAAGTCGACGACGCTATATTGTCAATGAAATAAAGCATTCAATTACCATCAAAATCAAAATCTTGTACATGTTGCTTTTGTTCTGTTTTAAAATCTCGAATCAGTGCGATTACAGCACGGTCAAATAATCAATGAATCGATAAAATATTATGAATGAACGTAGTAGTGTGAAAGTCAGTCCGTCATCCAATGAAAATGTATATGCGATTGACCAATCAATGCTGAGAATCATTAAATTGCACACTGTGCAAATATCAAAAAGATATTACACGGGATCTCCTCACCCGTATGGGTAATAAAGTATTTTGTACTGTCATTGTAATTCCCTTGTAGAAAGATATATTTCTTAACTTTGTTTTGGAATATAACTGTTTATTGTATAACATTTCTTTGTGGTCTGTGAGTTTCACATCAAATTCCTTTTTGGACAGACTTCTGGTTTAGTTCTTTTTTCATGTTCATGTAACAATATCAACATAATGCCCATCTCTGGGGTTCACTACTTAGTCTTTTGGGAATGTTGCTGTCACAGTCAGTGTCAGGTAAGAGAGCGTTATATTACCTGACACTGTACTCATTTTACATTATACAAATAGAGACTTCTTATTCTTCATACTGAAAGAATTTTGCCACTTTTGCAAATTAAAACGTATTATGCAGCATTGAGGGGTTGGTTGGTAAAGCTCATCATCAGCTCAGGTACCATTTGCCCCCTCTAAACTCAGCTCAGACGGTAAATGGGACTTCTTCTCTGAAGCGGTGTCTAGTCAAACCAACAATGAACTTTCCAGAGAATATGGAAGCTCTCCTTCACTGTAGCCTTCTGCATTACCAAGTTTCAGAGAATCTGGGGTTTTTTTTAAAGCATAGATTCTCAATTGGCAAGAATTCATGTAAAGAAAGTGAGTATGAGGTGTTAGGGATCTTTGCTGAGGAAGTCCAGGATAATATCTGTCTTCTTGGTTAAGCAAAAAAGCTCAACAGCTTTTGGCAATAGACAGGAAAAGGAGAGGAATCAAAGAATCGGTATGAAATATTCCTCTTTTAACGGTAATGAATTTTGAGCGGTCAGCACCTGCCCTTGTGCTTACATCACAAGTTGAATTGACAAGTACTACGTGGAAATCAAGTAATCAGAAGGTCAATACACTTTAGTAACCTCAAAATCAATTTGTCAAAAACAGAACATTTTCTGTAGTCAATCCAGGTTACGGTGGTAAATTTTAACCTTTTCAAAGATTTATTTTTTTTAATCAACAATTGATCCTTACAACACCAACATCCCTTTTTGGCTCCTTTCTGCACCATGTAAATAATATCACTGGAGTAGCAGTAGGTGGATGTCCATTTGTAGTTTCAGGTCTGCTGCCGAAAGTTTATGCAAAGGTAC